GGTCCAGAGGAGGGCCACTTGCATGGTCAGGGGGCAGCAGGACATGCCCTATGAGGACAGGCTCAGGGACCTGAACCTGTTCAGCCTCCACAAGAGAAGGCTGAGGGGGGTTCTAGTGGCCTGTTACAAACTAGTCAGAGGGGACCAGCAAGCACTGGGGGAGTCCCTGTTCCCCCGAGCACTCCCAGGAGTGACCAGACATGGTCGCAAGCTGGCAGAGGGTAGATTCAGGCTAGACATCAGGAGGCGCTACTTCACTGTCAGGGCAGCTAGGATCTGGAACCAACTTCCAAGGGAAGTGGTGCTGGCTCCTATCCTGGGGGTCTTTAAGAGGAGGCTAGACGAACACCTTGCTGGGGTCATTTGACCCCAGTACTTTTTGCTGCCATGGCAGGGGGTCGGACTTGGCGATCTGCTCAGGTCCCTTCTGACCCTACCTACTATGAAATAAGCTTCTGTGACCGCCTAACCTAACTTCACACTGGTTTTTTTCCTCCGTCCTTATTAAGATTGGTTTGTTCTGGGATTTTGTTTCAAGGTCTGCATCTTCAAGGTCTTTGTGGGACCATGGGCAAGTCTCAGTTTATCTATCTTACCTGTAGAATGGGGATAATAATATCTCAGAAATGTTGTAAGGATCCGTTAATTTCTGATTGTCAATTGAGATACTGAGGCGGAGAGCACCACATAAGCACACAATATTCATTATTCTTTTGCTACTGTCATCACTGCTGAGGCATTCTCTGTTACATTTGAGATAATTTTGTCTCCCACTTATTTTTCTGGAGGAAAAAAGATAGTTGGGTCTTATTCCTAGTAATGGTGGTCTGTTTGAAAGGGAGTGGACAAAGGTTTTCCACTTCTAGTGACACCATTCCATTCATGACACACTGTACTTCACATGTTATTTATTGTATTGGTAAGATGTAGTTCCTGTGTCAGAAGGACCACTGCAAATTGTGTTGTTCTGAGTAGGCATGCATACTCTCCTGTCTTTATTATATAGAGCATTTAAAAGCATATGAAAAAAGGCATAATTTGACATTTAAATCATGGTTGATCTACCTATATGTGGTAGTTGCCCATGTAGTTCGTTTAAGCTAATTAGTAAAATATTGAATCCTGATTGGAGACACATTCTTTATTCAAACTGAAATCATATTTTAATACTTTGTGTTTATGCCTACATTTAATTTGTTAGGCACTGTGATTTGGGGCTACTTGCTTATATTCAGCCAGACTGGATCAGAGATTGAGGGAAGGAAGGGTGCCTGCTACTGTTATGAGAACTTAGTTATCTTTGTTTTCACTCAATAGCAGTTTAGTCTCCACAGTGGGACCATTTGTAGAAAAAAGTGTCAGGCTTACTGTGTGTAAGACGGGTGGAATTAGCCCCTGGGAGCTGGCACATCAGCTGATAAATCTATATTCTGTTCTTGGATGGAGCTTGGTTTAAGAAAAGATAGCCATGAATATTTAGATGTATTGTTTTTACTAAGATACTTATTGTCCTGTGTCACTTCTATCATTTGCAGACTCAGCCTGATTTTCTTCCCACACAGCACTGGATTTCCATGATGGTAGAGACACTCCTTAGTATTGTGAACAGTCGCTATCGTCCTCAAGGTCAAGTCTTCCCATGGTTCTACCAGGTACATCCAGAAGTCTAAATAAACGTAAAAGGAGGAGTTAAACAGGAAATATTATAGATAAGACATTATGGACGTGATTTAATGATCTTAGTATTTGTGATTGCAGGGAATACTTATTTGAACACTGAGTGTTTTCTGCAGCTTCTTGTTCTTGCAGAACATATAGGGACAGGGGCTTCTTTCTTTCTCCCTTTTTGTTTTTAGCACTTTTTTTCTTACTTTATTCCAATTTTTTTCTTTCAAGCTTTTTTTTTTTTTGAACTTTGATATTCCAGAGTCTCACCTGCTGTTGATATTAGTCCTTTTAACATTATTTATTTATTTATTTATTTATTTAATGCAATTACTGTAATGTTTCAGGCTGCACAGATAAAACGATACAAGTCAAACAGGGCAAACTAAATAAGCTGTTGCCATGTTACAGTACCAAAATCCTGAGACGAAGTGCCTGCTATATCTTGTCCCATAGGTTGTGAGACACTGACTCTATTAAAAAGGAGTAATTATGGAGGATCTTCCCCTGAAGATGCATCTCAAGAGTTTCAAATCTAGGGACCATTGGCAGAATGATCCTATCTTATTTCAAGCTCATAACCAGGAACTAAAATGTGAGAGGTTTTATGAAATACTGCTGGTTTTTGAAATGGCACTTGGATGTGAAATGGGAGTCAATATATATAGTCTTCAGGCAACAAATAGAGTATAGATACCATTGCTAATTTTAGTGCTGCTGTGATTTTTGTTTGTAAAAGCTCCCCTTCTGTGTGATTTTTTGATTCTATCCCTGGTGTAGAATATACTGAAGTAGGAACAGAAATTAGCATATATTATTTACAGAGTGAACAATTCCCTTCCCAGGGAAAGACTCCATATCTGTTGCACTCTAAATACTGCCTTCTTTCTAGTAATAAAACTTATCTACTCTGATAGTCAGCCTTCTTCCATTTGCCTTTCTGTGGGAAAGCAGAGTGCGGGTCCAATTAAATAGATATAAAATGAAGTCAGGCAGAAGGATGGCATGAATTAACCAACTGGTGGAACTACAGCTTTCACTTTTGTGGGCTTGTATAAGAGGTCCCTCAATGAGGATGAATATAACATATCTTGAGAGTCTTCCTGAAAGTAAGGAAAAAGTCCATAAAAGGCTGAGTACAGCTAGTTAGATGGAAAAAAAAGAAATCAAGGTCAGCAGTTTTTAAAGATTACTGAGAGATCTGAAACAGTCAGCTTGGGCTCTTGAACTCTGTTGTCACCAAAAAGAGGTCATGAACCAGCAAAACCAGTATAGTTTTAACACCTTATCCAAATATAACTCCAGACTGACAAAAGCCAAGGAAATCCAAGGACAACTCTGAACAGAATTGCCATGCTGTAACTTATCGAAAAACCTGGCTCCAAAAATAATATGATTTAAAAAGTATATTCTTGAGATGGAGCTTGGGGGTTTAATTCACACAGTTTTCTCTCCTAAAAATACAATATTTTTTTCAAATGCTTTTTTTTCCCCTTCTTCAGACTTGTAAATACCACAACAGCCTGTAGAAATCACTGCCTTTCCAGATGTCTTGCATTCTCATTTGAATATTTTTCTTTTTCTTCCCACAGTTATGCATATGGTAATGCATAAACATCAAGCGATTACATACAACTAGGTCATAGATTTGTAAGTCAAGGCAGTCATGTGGATTTCACCATTTAAAAAAAAAATGGAAAGGAATTAAGCCTTTGTGGAGAATAATTTTTCTGCTGGAAAGCCTGTCCACCAGAAATTTTGCGAGATCTGCCAGTACTTTTCTACATTAGACTGGATGCCTCTCAAGCATTAGAGCAGCATTTTCTTCTCAGTGAATTTCTCGCTTTCTGTAATTACAGTTATGTTAACATTGCAACTGTTTTTATTTACCTATCCAGAGGCTGGATCACTCTGCTGCATATTTTAGTAAGGGCTTCAAACATCAAAACAGGTCAATATGTTTATCCCCTTACCAGCTATTGGATTCTGTTTTTTCCCCCCAACCTCATGCTTATTGTTTACAGTCCTGTATTGAACAATATTTTTTTTATTTTTAAACTCTGGAAAGTATATTTCAGTCACCATGTTATTAAGCTAGTTAGGGGTTAAAAAAAAAGGAACATTGCTTTCAGCCAGCCATGAGTACCATTTGTTTCCAAATAGAAATGCAAGTATGATACTGTATGCTGTATAATTTTAAATGTCTAAAATTCTGAACATTATCTTTGGTAAAATAACATTCATTTTCCATCACTAAAGAGGTATATAAAACCTAAAATTGTCTTCTTCCCCATCCCCCTTTTCCCTCTGCTATGTATACTAGAAATCATATTCAGGGGAAAACACAGCCAGTGCGATTGCTCGCTCCTGCGCAGCCATTGCTTTGTCTCTCTTGGTGCCAGTTTTCATTGTATCCTTCAAGGAGAAGGTTGAAGAAGTCCTGAGCATGCTGACTGCCAGGTTACCTGGGAAACCAAATGCTGATGAGTCTCAAGCTGTTCAAATCCACATGGGCCTTGCTTTGGGGATGTTTATCTCACGTTTGTGTGAAGAAAAAGTCAGGTATGGATTATAGTATACAGCAGGTGTGTAAATAACTTCCTCCTTTTCCCTGTATGTGGCATTTTTATTCTGGAGAGTGTTTACATTTTGTAGTCAAATGATTCCTGGTGGCTGTGCGTTGTTACTTAAACATGAGCTTTTTTATTGGTCTTCTCTTTCCTCCTACCTCCATACTGTATTGATTATGTTTCTTTAAATATAACACCAGCGGAGTCACATAAGGATGTTAAGGAGTGGGTTAGCTGCCCTCATTTAGATAATAGTAAAATAGCATTCATAAAGGTAAAAACATAATTTTTGTGAATGCAATACTTTTTTGTACTGCACAAGTAATGACATACAACAATGTATCCAGTTACTTAACTCAGACAAAACATCTTGGACAGACTGTGAGCTGTGTGTACATAGTAGGGGTGTGCTATCTTCTCTGAAGATTCAACGCTGATTCAGAGAATCAGCGATTCGGCTGTAGATACAGTTTTTAAATGTTTTTTTTCTACATACCTCGAGGTACCAGGCGCATCTCATGAACGTTGTGATGGTGGGGCTGATGGAACCATATATATGTAATACTTCTGTAATATGTCTGCATATGTAGCAACGGTATGTTTGTTATGGAAGTAAGTAAGAGTTAGTTTTACATGTGTATATAGATATAGAGCTAGTTAGATATTGATATGGAAAAGCTAGTTACAGTATATAGATAGTAAAGATCTCTCTCTCTCTCTCTATAGATAGATAGATAGATAGATAGATATCTCTCTCTATATGTGTGTGTGTCTGTATGTATGTATATATATTCATATATACACACACACAGATGCACGCAAACATGCACACAGATCTACTATCTATATAACTAGCTTTTCCATATCTATATCTAACTAGCTCTATATCTCTATATATGTAAAACTCTCTCTCAGTATCTATCTATCTATCTACTTACTTCTATAAAAAACGTACCATTACTATGTATACAGACTTTTTACACGGGTTTGGCTGGCTATAACTATTATTTATATCCTGTGAAGTTAATGGCTCTGAACCACCTGCCTTTGTTTAAATGTGTTTTGAATCAATATACCATCTTGATGCTAAGGAGCTACTACTCCTTTTTATTATTATTATTTTTAAACCAACCACGCAATTGGATGATGCATTGCCTCTTGTCCATAGTGACAATAGAGCAACGGATAAGCCATAAAAAACTCCTGAGAAATCAGGATTAGATTTTTGAAATACGTTAGGGAATTAGAGCCATAATTGGGTTTGGTTTTGTTTTAAAGAAGAATGGTATTGAAAGACATTTTTTCTCAAAAAAATAAATGTTAAATAATAAAGCAAGTCAGCTTTCATGTTTTGCTTACAAGGTTTCTTTCTAGTCATAGATATTAGGGCTGTGCAAAGCTTCAGTCGCTGATTCAATTCAGCTGAGATTCAGCCCGTTTCAGTGACCGAATCTCTGGACCCAAATTGAACCAGAGAACCCTTTAATCTCTCCGAATCATATTGGAACACTCCAAATCAACTTGGAAAGATTCAGCAATTGGGAAATAGACACAGCTTCAAATGTTTTTTCTACATACCTTTGGGTAGCAAGTGGCTTGTGAACACTGCAATGCTGGGGCAGATGGAGTGCCCCACAGAACCACGGGGACTCCCCACCGCGCTTGGCAGCAGACCCGAGAGTGAACCAGAAGCACTTATGGGTCTACCAGGGAGCATGCAGGGGGCCCTCCCCATGCTCCTCCGGCTCAGCGATTGGTGCCTCCTGGGTCTGGGGGGGCACCTGGGGTCCCCCCGTGGCCTATCGCCACATTGGGGGAGAATGGGGGCGGGGAGGGGCCCTGTGTGCTCCCCAGCAGACCTGGAAGTGGACCAGAAGCACTTCCGGTCCACTTCCAGGTCCTCTCCCACGCACGTGGAGGCCCCCCCCAGCACTCCTGTGGGACGCTCCATCCGCCCCAGCATCACAGCATTCACAAGCCATGCTGGTACCTCGAGGTACATAGAAAAAACATTTAAAGCTGTATCTATGTTTGAATCACTGATTCTCCAAATCAGCATTGAATCTTCAGATTTGGATTCGGCTGAATCGAATCAGGCACAGTGATCCAGATCAACTAATCGAATCACTGTCCCTGTTTTGGACCAAATCCGAATCAAATAGGGTCTGCTTTGCACACCCCTAATAGATATAACTTAAATACATCTGCTGAATTTGAGCCTACCTTGGAAGTATTTGGAACGTATCCATGTTTAACCTAGAGATTAATTTACATCAAAACTTTCCTATTCCTTAAGGGGACTGGAAGTGCATTATTTAACCACAGGGTTTCTTGGGAGTGAAGCAGTGTGTTCAGGCATCTTTTCTCCAGATAAGGCCCAAAGGAGTAGAAAGGAAAAGGAGACAGTTTTTCAAAAGCTTCAGAAAATGAAATCTTTAAAACATCATTTCTCTTAAGCCTATGAACAGTGTGACTATGCTTTACCTGAGGACCTGACCAGTAGTTGCTTTCTCTTCTTCCCTTTTCCCTTCCCCTTTTTTGTGTTGTGTGCTGTAAAGATCTTCTGTTTCTGTTTGAGAGCTGAAAGGAGTAGGAGCTGTATGGGAGTGGGCACCAAAGTATGTTTAAGTACGTCAGTGGTTAGTCCTGGAATTATATGCGACTTCAGATAAATTAAGAACCACACAGTTATTATTTATAAACTAATATAAGAACCTAATTTAGCAAATAAAGAACTATCTTAAGTGGGAATTTTATTGCTATCAATGTGGCTAATATCATAAAGTAGCCCAAAGAGCAGAACTGTATTTTTGCTTTCTGTTTTATAGTGATGTATCTGGCCAACAGATGAATCTACTTCTAATGAAGTCCCTGGATACACTGGAAGCTTGCTGCTTTGATACCAGTCTAGAGTACAAGTAGGTTTTATTCCGTTATTGGTGCTAGCATTTATGATGATTACTACCATTCATGTAGGGCTTTAAAGCTTCAAAAACTGCATATTCTGAATTTAGAACTACAGCTCCCCTGTTGCTACAAGGAGACTGAACCTGCCCTTGAAAACTTTCACCTGAGCTGTGTCTTATAAATGAATCTTACTGTACCTCTTTTAAACATGCTTGTTAGCAGACTGTGGAAAGTCTGGTGAGATAGTTATGTGAGCACACAAAGGAAAAAAACACCAAGAAAAACCATCGGGCATATGGTGGAAGAGAGGTTTAGAAATTCAAATGTGCTGTTTAATGGAGGTGGTGTAGCAGGCAATAGCAACAGTTTTAGGTGAAGTGTTGTTGTTCCCCTTACCTGCACATGTTCATTAATGAAAAGCACTTTTGAAAGTGCCCCCTTGGTGCTCTTGTATAGCTGCCAAGATGTTCAATGGAGTCTAGCTTCTGCTGCTGCTTGGGAGCCTATTACTGGAATGTGCATGTGTGCACAATACAGTCTGAGCTATGGGAGCATCTGCCTTGCATGGCTCCTTTATCTGGGAGAGCCAGTCTGTTAAATTAACAGCTGTGGATGGCATGTAGAATATGGATGGAGGCAAATATATTTTATTTTCCCAAGCAGGGTTATGCCTCAGGTGCTCTAAAGAGAGGAGCAGACTGCCAGCAGGGTCAGAAATTTATTGAGGAATAGTACACAGTCACCAGCATAGGCAAACCTACAAAATGAAATTTTTTTTGTGTACATTATTTGCCATTAAACAGTACATATGTTCCATAAAGTGACATCCCATGTGATAGTTATTTCTTTTTAGAATAGGAATGAATTGTGATATCTCTGGTGCTGGTCTCATTTTCTGTCTTTTTTTTAATGCCAGTCATTTCCACATTGATTCTTCTCTTATTAAAGATTGAAGAGCAACAATTTCTGTTCTCTCCCCCACATATTCTGTACCTTGTGAAAAGCCCATGAGGGGTCACAGCTGCACTTCATTGGGCTATGAACTTGGAAATCTTTTCAGATCTGAGTTGTTCTGCCCCTTGACTAGCACAGAATAAGGCACATGGTGCACAGGGAACTGTATCAGCTGCATCACTTCGCTGTACCCACTGCTATGTGTTTGCCTGCCCTATTAGCCAGAGATAAAAACTTCACAGTAGCAGCCAAAATAGACTCCTCTGCCAACACGAGGTAGGAGGTAAACAGAAGTACATGAAACAATGGCAAGGAAACAATGCTTTTTTTCCCTGCTTGACAAAGTTTAACTCTAGAGGTTTTAGAAAAGCTTGGTATAAAATTGGCATGTAATACTTTTTTCTTTTTTCAATTGAGCAAGAAAGTAATTTTAAGCTGTGGATGCTGTTGACTCGTAGACTACTGCCATTACAAGACTAGAGTTGGTGTCCACTATTTTTTTAAAGTAGAGCCTTTTAGTCTGTGCTTTAGAAACTTCTGTTTATGGGAGTTAAATTGTGATACCATAAACTACCTTCATCATCTGCTATAAATGGAAAATGCTGTGCCATTTGTTCTCTTTCTGCCAAAATAAAAGGTGTCTTATACCAAAAGTAGTTTCCTTCTTTCTCATTGCAGTTAATTATATTTAGCATGCCTCTATGAAATCTGGCTGTTTTGATAGCTCACCCAGAGGAAATTCATTGTGATGGCTTGATTTAAAAGGTGTGTAGCTTTTAGTAAGACCCCTGGCTGTTCAGCTTGCCATGTGGTTGGAGACAGAATATTTTATACCATGCTGCCATCTAGTGGAAAAGAAGTCTGACCATGATTTTTTTCCACCCTTGTACAGTAGTAATTTTGTCTAAGTACAGGTTTCTGATATGTTGCAAGCCCCCAGAAACATGGAAAATCAGTTACTATGCCAATTAGCAGATGTTTAAAGGGTGTTCGTTGAGGCTTCCCGTCCATTGAAGGGCATTATGGATTCTTGCTTCATGTCTGCTTAAAAAAAAACTTTCACAGACTGTGTCTTACACAAAATAGGAGTTCACACAACTTTGTACACAGTTGGCTGATCATGTCAATCCTGATAACAGTATTGTTCATACCAGTTCTTTGTTTACTCTGTTTAATTGGGATAATTCTTTTTTGCATTTTAGTTAATAAATTCCTTACTAATTGGAAGGAAAAAAAACAAGACATGGAGTTACTTCAAGAAAAGAATAAGCAACAAGATTGCCTATATTTTAGTACAAAACACCTGCTCAAGTAACCCAACAATTAAATAAAGATGGTGTTTTGATATTCCCAAGTTGCTCAGCTGTGGACATGATATAATATGTAGCTAAATCTCTCTCTCTATGAAGGGCCTGCCTTAAGCATGATACTCATCATTGATATCACCTTCCACCTAAAAATCCTCCATCTAACAAACTGGGAACCAGTGAAAATTGGAGGGGAAAAACCTAGGATACATATAAATTGATAAAACTGTATAAAAGTAGAACTTTTTGAAACAAAAATTTGCACTAGAAAGGGGAAATGTTAGAGAGACTGAAGTTTACTAGGGACTTAGCTGTAGCTATTGATAGATAGCATCAATAACTACTGTTATGACTATTGATTTTACATAGAAGGTGCTCAGAGGTTGTAGTGACAAGACAAGTATAAATCCCTGAGGTAGGGATCGGGGAAGAAGGGAGTGGGGGAGAGAGAATTAAAAGTATTGTTCAAATCTATAGTTATGTAGGGTACTATTGAATATGGGTTAATATGTAAGTATGTATAAAATAGGATGTTTTTGGAAGAAGGTTTTAGACAAAAGGTTTAACTTGTTAGTAGATACTGTAGACTCCTTGATTATGAAAACTACACAACAGTTTCCAGAGAGAAAGAGAGACAGTCAGATTCAAGATGTATTTATATTTATTACTATTAATGCTTTTTTCTGTTACTGAGCTAAGTGTTATTAAATTTATTATCTTTCTGGAAGCATATCCAAAAGGATTACATGGAACAGATAGAGAAAAACAAATGGAAGACAGCTTTCTAATGATGACCATTTGTTGCAAAATTCATGCACAGACAGCAGATATATTATACTGTCTCTGGTCCTTATTTTGTAAATCAGTCTAGAAAGTTTTTCCCTTTCTAAACCAAAGTAATACACTTAAGCTGGGTCCAGATGAGTGCGGCCGTGCCGTACGCGGACATACTACTGCAGTGCCACATACTACGTGTTCAGGTGTTCTCCACACTGGAAGGGAGCAGCACGAGGGTGTTTTTTGACCCTTAGATATCCAGGGGTCAACAAAACCCCGTGGGGAAAAAAAAGCAGAGCGGCGCATTTAGGGGCAGTTTGTGCCACTCAAAACTGGAATCGGGCCGTCTGGAGCCACACTGGCTGTTGGCCAGCTTCTGTGTGGCAGGATCACCACTGCTGCAGCCCCAGGAGGCCCCCAGTACCCCAGGTAAGGCTGCTGGGGCCAGCCCAGTGCTGGCCTCAGCCTCCCCTACCCACCTGGGGTAACTTGTCACACACCAGAGCACGTGGCACAGGCATTCCACAGGAACAACTAGTGGCGGTACAAGGTGGAACCAAATGTCCATGCAAGTGTGGACGCAGCCTGAGTGTTTAACCCTGACCTCTTCATGGTCACCAAATTCACCAAGTTTTGCAGAACACCAAAAAGTGATATATTTGTGGCTTACCATATATATTTTCCTTACTAAGGGTATATTTTAACTACTCTTGCAGATGTGTTTTTCTGTATAAATCTGTGACATAGTTGACCTGGTCTACAACTGCTGCAAGCAAAAATTAGTGATTGTTGGTGTAAAAAAAATGAAGGTTGATGCTTAATATATTTGCAGCCAAAATCTCTCTGAATAATAAGATGACTTGCCTCTACAAAGCTCTTAATAAGAACAAATAACTGTTTGAAAGCTGGACAGGTTCTGAGTTGAAGCATTTTTTTACATGATTGTCATTAATTCTTAATAAGAGAACTCTGGTCCCACACAATTCATTGTTTAAAAAAAAAAACAAAAAAACCCCACTACAGTGGTGTCAGAATTTGGCGCTCTAACCATATAACACGTTTTTTTTTAAATGATATAATAAATACATCTGTTTTGTAGGACTGTTTGTGAAACACCTACACAGTTCTCTCTAGCACTGTACACTGAATATTCCACAAGAGAAAAACATATTGTTGTTATCTTAGAGATACTAAAATAAGGCTACATACTTGTACTGTGACAGGTAAGGTATTTTACTGCTGAAATGCACTATTTTGATTTGCTTTTTAGGCACCCATAAACATTGTGTGTGTGCACGCACACGTATCTATCTATCTATCTATCTATATATGTATATATTAAAGACAAAATAGTAATTTGGAGAAGCCCACAAACTCTCCACCCATTCACAAAAATGTGTATTTGTCACAAAATGTATTCCCTTTGTGTTTGTGTGTGTGTGTTTAAAGTGTTGTCAAACTAAAAATTTGTGTTGGGTAATTTAACTAACTAGGAACATTTACCTTCTTATAGACAACCATTGGCATATTTTATCAAGTTTTATAGAATAAAATTGTATGTAAAGAAAACTTGTGATAATCCCTTTAGTTGGTTGGTTTGTTAGTGCATTTACCTGAATTTAAGACAACCCTCCCCCAGCTAGATTCTATACTTGGAAAATTATAAATGTGTTATGATTTTCCATGTTTAGAATATAATTAATGGGAAATTGTATTAAATTCCTGCCTCCCAATCAACTGCTTTGCCAGAGAAAGCAATAGGTGGGGGCATGGGACCAGACCCCTACTTCTTGCCCTTCCTGTGTGATTCCTGCTACTTGCCCTCCTGCTGCCTGCCTCTCCATGCCTGGGCTGTCCCCTCTGGAGCCAGGTCATGCCTGGAGGGACTGGAGGTGGAGCAGAAGGTAAGGGGAGGAGTGGGTAGCTGTTGTGGGGGAAGAGTGTAGACTGCATAGTCTCCCCCATGCTTCCTCCAAGCTGCACACATGGGTCTTCCCTGTTTCCCTCCACCACCCTGCAATATCCCCCGCATTCCCCCAGCTGTGAGCCCCTTCCCGTACCAAACAAACCATCTTCGTCCTGGGCAGGCAGTGGCTTAGCTCTGGCTTCCGCCCGGAGCCCATGGCCAAAGCCAGAGCTGAGCTGCTGCCTGCCTTGGGCTGCCACTTAAATCTAAGACAAGGCTTTTCTCCTTATGTTGTTTTAGGGGGGAAGACACCTAATTTTGGATCTGAGTAAATACTCAAATCATAAGTTCAATAAGCAAAAGAGGATTGTTGCTGCCATGTATTACCACTATTTTGTGTTGATAAACAGTGCCTCTATCCATGAAGCTATTGCCAACTCCTTTGGCTGTTGACAAGCATTACACATTCAAAGTTGTGGCTGAAGTTTTTTTGTTTATTTTTGTTTAATTTATTAAGTATAACTATGAACTCTCCCATTGTTTTTAAAGGATATCTCTAGTTCAAATGAGTCCTCAGGACTCCTGCTGTTGTTGTATTTTACACTAAATTGACTGCTGATGTTTAAAAGCTGATATTGCCATATCTGACATCCATTTACTGCATGAGCTTTACATCTAGAAATGATAGATTCCAAAAGCCATCTTTGCTTATTTAACCCTACATTCCCATTCTGTTTTCCCTCTCTCTTTAAAGCACTGGATGCATCTTGGGAGTAGGACTTGTTCTTTCACTTATGAGTCACACCAACCAAACAGAGTCACGAGTTCACATCTCTTCCTCACTACAAAAACTCTGTAACTACCTGGATGAAAGTGAGGATCAAAGCAGAATGTTCCAGGAGGTAGGGTTGTTTAAGCAAAACTTCCTAATTTTCCCTGTTTTCTTACCAGTTCTTCCTGATGACACACCTTTATACTGAAGTCATATCCATATATAGTTTATTACTATTACTTTGAAATTGTCTTCATTCTCTCTGTGCCTTACATTGACTAGTGTTTTTTTTCTTTCATCGTAACATTCCATCTTCAATTTTTCCAAACAAAAATAGAATTTAATAATTTCCAGTAGTGATGTGCAGGTATAAAGAAAACTAAATCATCACAGTGCTTTGTCTCTAATCTCTCTCATCTATCTAAAATAAACTTGGGCCCAGGTCTCTAAAGGTATTTAGGCACCTGCCTCATATCCAAGTAAATAGAAGTTGTGTGCCTAGAAAGGCCTAAATGCCTTTGTGGAGCTAAAACTTTCTTGTTTTGTTTTAGCTCCTTTGCTGCAAAGAGTAGTCTCCCACAAAGCACACAGTGAACTTCAACCTTTCACCTTGCAAAAGGTGGTCTTTGCTACCTTCTTTGGAAATTCCTTTCATTTTGGTAGTGTAAACACAGCAGGAGCATTTCTGTGGCCATGGGTTTTTCTGTATTTCTTACTATAACAGTTCTGAAGAATTTTAGAAAGCAGGTGTACTGGGTTTAAGTGCAACGTTATTTATATAGTGCCAAATTGTGCATGGAACTTGAGACAAATAGGACATGATCCCTGCCCCACAGGATTTCCAGTCTAAATTGTGAGGTGACTTGAGTAGGGAAACTGACAAAGCCAGGGAAAGAGTAATGGAGAGCAACAGTAAGACCATGTGTTTATATTTAAAATGTTACCTGACATGTTTAAGCCCATTGCAAGCTGAACAGTTGAATCATGTAACCCCCTGTTTTTCTAAGGGATTTATTATGTATCAATACAGAGTTCCCCCTTTTTTACACAACTTTTAAAAGCTCTTTGTATTTTAATAAACATATAATATTTTGAAGTTAAATTATTGTTGGCAGTATGTTGTGAATTAGCCTGTTACGGTTCCTGGATCAAGTATTAAAATGACTTGTAACTATAAAATCATTTCTCAACCCATAAGCTCCTAAAGTGTTTTAGTGAAGTTAAACAGGTGTGCAGACTTTATGCAGGGTCATTGCAGCAACCGAGGAGGTAAAATATAGCAGCTGTGTAACATCACAGAACAGTATGGGATAAGAAGTAAAGCATCCCTTTTATTCCAGGAGGACGGTATGTAATTTCATCAGTTAGAATTTGCCAAACAATCTGCCGTTCTTACAAAAAGTCTTATAGGACCTTTAATAAACTGAAGCAATTGGGATCCCAGGCTTAGTTACAGTTGTACAACTGCACCTCCTGTTGCTGCATATTGTCTACTAAAAGCTATGCGGAGCATTATTTGTACATAGCTAAATTGTTGCCTGTCCTTGATAGCAGGTGCTGCCTCATTCTCTTGCATTGATACACCATACTGCTACATACAGTGTGTGGAGAGGAGGCAGGCTTTAAGTAGCTGAGAAGTTTCCTGTCTTGTAGTTGAGTAGGAAGAAGTGGCAGGAAGGGGGGGAATCTTGACTTCACCTTCCCAGTGTTACTTGAAAACATAATTATGCCAGCAAATCTTGGAGTGCGCACAGTGAAAAGGATAGTCCTTTCATCCTTTGATTCCCTCCCTGTAGCATTAGAGAATATGATTTAGGGCTAGGGTGTCAAACTCCTTTGGCCCACTTAGGGCAGATGCAGACCACGGGGCTCCTTGCAGGCTGGATCCAGATCCACCTCTGGCAGCCTGGCAAGCAGCAGCAGCATTAACTGCTGCAAGTTCTTGAGCCACAGGGATTAATGCACCTGTGGTTTGACTCTTGGCTGCCATCATATGTCCCCAGTAGGGCTCCTACAGCAGTGGGACCCATTCAGCAGTGAGCTTCATCCCCAAATTCCCAGTCCCTCTAGGATCTCTGGAGGCCATACCTTTGACAGCCCTGATTAAGAGTCATTGGAGGTGGCAGTTGGGAAAGTTATGAGGCTGTTCCCTTAGGCAGTTTCAGGAGCAGTGCAATAATGTTCTGTAGGGGTGTGCAAAGCTTCGGTTGCTGATTTGATTCAGAGAAGATTCGACCCAATTTGGAGGCTGAATTATCAAATCTGAATTGAATCGGGAGACCTATAAAACCTCTGAAGTGATTCAGAGCATCTGAATCAATACAGAAAAGATTCAGAGAAAGATTTGGCAATTTGGAAGGCAGTCTTGCAGGGAAACAGGAACTGAGAAGAGGGAGGGGGAGTAGGGGGGGAAAGACTGACATCTGTAGCTAGCCAGTGACTGTGATCTTTCCCCGAATTCCCTTCCAATCACAGTGCCCTGGGGAAGGGACGTAGAAAAAACATACTTCACTTCATCCACCTCCTAGATACAAAACCCCATGGACTCAATATAGACATTGGATACATGACACACTGTAACCTGCCTGACATCTGACTCCCCGGGTACCTCTCCACTTTAACCTGCTCCATCCCTCCCCCAGCCTGTCTCTTACCCCCTGATGCCTCAATTTACATTTTCACTGGCTGGCTTTTTTGCCTGCATACCAGCCTCTGGCTTCTTTACTGTTCATTCCACCCAGGAAGACCACACACACCAACTGCATATGCTTCCTCAGGCTGACAAAGGGTTTTTAAACCCAAAAGCTTGCTAAGATATATTTGTCTAACTATTCAATTGGTCTAATAAAATATATCAGATTGACCCGAAGCACCTTGTCTACTTTTGTCCTTCGACCAACACAGCTACGACCTACACCCTTTAACACGCACACAACGCGAGTTTTGCTTTCAGAATCTTGAGATACACTTTCACAGAAACCCCTGCCCCTGTTTCCTTGAAACCTGGCAGGCCTCATGCCCTCAGAAGGGGCTACCATCTCTGCTATTTTCATCAAATTCCACCGTAAAATGACAGTTATAGGTATTCCAGTGATTCCCATTATAGTCTATGGCCAAATCACTGAATCTCTCCGAATTGGCACTGAATCTTTCATAGTCCATTTGGCCAAATCGATTTGGGATACCAACCTGAATCACTCCTCCAAATTGGCCGAATCCTAATCCTAATCGAATACTTCCCTATTTGCACAGGCCTAATGATCTGCCCCCTATACAGCACAATAATGCTGTGCCCCATATAGTTAGTTAAATCATAAAGTGATGATCCAGCACATGGAGGGGGCAGTGCCACATACTGCACTGCATACAGCATCGATTCATTAAGTGTTTGCATAGTGCACAGTAGAGCATGCTGACTGGCTACATTTTTGGCATCATTTTATGCAGAAGTTACACATCAGTACACTTAAGGTTAACCAGTAGAAAGAGTCCTTTTATTGAATGGTCAGATCCCCTGCATGCCTTGTTTTCTACTGTCCTGACCTGAGGTTAACATAAAAAAAAGAAGTATAGTATGCTTGGAGAATAGCTCCACTAGGGGATGTGGGCATATGTCCATTAAGGATCATATTACTTTGTATGCAGAGAAGTGTGTAGTTACCTTTTCCTGTTTTGATGTACTTTTACTAGACTGATTAAAATTGGTGGTGGTGCTCCAGAGCTCTCAGGGATGCAGAGCCATATTGTTATATAACTTTTGTTCCTATCCAGTATGCTGAGCACTAGGGCTGTGCGAAACTTCGGGTGCTGATTTGATTTGGAGGAGATTCAGCCCAGTTTGGTGGCTGAATCTCCAAATCCAAATCAAATCAGGGGACCAATTATAAGGTTCAATTTGAAGCTCTCTGAATCAATTCAGAAAAGATTCAAAGAGCTTCAGAGATTCAGGTAGTCCCTGCTGCAGCAGGGAGCTAAACCCAGATTCCATGCTGGTAAGTAGGGGGTGGAGGAGGGGAGGCTGGAGGAGTGGGGAGGGGACCATGGGTGGAGCCCCGTCAGGCCCCATCCCCTGCCTGCTCCCCCAGCCCTCCTGAGCACTCCCAACCCCTGCCCGCTCTCCCAGCCCACCCCTCCCCCCACCATGGCTGCCTTGCCCAGCTCAGCTCCTGGCCCTTTATAAAAAAAAAAAACAAAACATAACCCCAACTCACCTGCTGTTGCAGTGGCCTGGGGCTTCTGTGGTTTTGTGGCAGAGCCCCCCATGCAGTGTGGGACAGTGGGGGGCAACAGGGTTTGCCTCCCCCCTGCCTGGCACTAGCTGGTGAGTTGGGGCTTTTTTTTATTAAAGTGCTGGGAGTTGGGGCGGGCAGGGCAGCCATGGCAGGCGGGGAGCTGGGACAGCGGGTGGGGGTCAGGGTGCTCATGGCAGAGCCCCCATGCAGCGTGGAACAGTGGGGGGTAGCGGGGATTGCCTCCCTGCCTGGCAGCAGCAAGTGAGTCAGGGTTTGTTTTTGTTTTTTTATCAAAGAGCTCAATCTGTAAATTGATTTGGGACAATGATTTACACCACTGTATCAAATAACTGTCCCCCGAATTGGCCGAATCTGAATCCGAAGTGAATAGTAGCCACTTCACACAGGCCTACTGAGCACTCCACACCTATCTGCATTGTACAGAGCTGAACGCTGTCTCGTCAGTACCCTATCTTTGTGCACCCATGTGTTTCTTAGAAGTCTCTCATCTAAATGATAAACTAGCCCAAGCCCTGCTACATGTGAGCACTTATATCACTAAAGCCTGTTGCACTAGCCCCCAAAGTGACTTTCTTTCAGCATATGAGGCCCTGATGGCCATGCTGTGAAGCGTGGGGGAAGTCAAGCAAAATCTTATTAAGTATCTACAGTTTAAAAAAAGGTTTGGATTTAAAAGAAGCATGAATAATATCTGCCCAAAGATGACTAAGAAATGATAAATGCTTGAAATCAGATGCTTATAATTGTAATAACCTTTTCTGTCATAACTGTAATTATTCTAGCACATCACTGTATGTATTTTAAAATGTAGTGTTGGTATCCTATGTTACCTTAGAAGTATTTATAATCTCCATCGTATGTATTATTACTAGGGGTG